AGTAGAGGAAAGATATGTCGCAGCTGTTCAAGATCCGGTCCTGGCGGTCCACCTAGCCTTGTGAAGAGTTTTAAATCTTATATTCTGTTTCCTTCGTGGCATTCTAGTTAAAATTGCTTTATTAGCAATTCACAGCGTGACTATGATGCAAAAGTTGTCATCAGATAATGAGTACTGTTTACTCATCAGTAGCTAATTCTTTTGGAGCAGTAAGATGGCTGCGAAGAAGTAGAATCAGGCCTGAAAAAAAACGTCAATTATGGAACTAATGATATTTATTATTCATTTTGCAACTGAAATTAATTTTCCGATAGAAACACAGAATAGTTTTTGATATAAACAAAGTTTCAATTAAAATATTCGCTGTGTAAACTAAACATTGATTAAGTACCATATTAAAAATGATGGTATCATTGAGCACTAAAGTGGTCTGTGCATTAAAACAAAAACTTTGTGAACCAAGCAAATTAAAGGAGAGTTGCAAATTTATTGCAAATTTGCAAATGAAGTAGAAGCAGACTTTTGAAATCTTTGACGGCATTTTACTTGATAAGCTATTAAAATGGCTAGGGTAATTATAATTAAAACTAATAATCAACAATAAATAACAGCCACTAAGATTGTAATATATAATTTTAACCCAAAATATGACACTGAGACTGTGCACTTAACAAGCTTCAGTGACTGTGGTCGAAAATTTTCACTCTCGGCTTTAAGCGTTTCGAGTTTATGCTTCATCCTCTATTTCCTGCCTTTCCCCATTTGGAACGTTTTATAGAGAGAGAGCCCATCTCCATCTATGCCACTTTTGCCAAACACACGTGTACATAAATAATTAATTGAAGTGGGAGTGGCATAAATTATTAATTAGATTATTGTTATTAAAGAAAGCTAAATTAAGATTACTAATCCTTAGACAGTAACTATTTAATCAATCATGTCTTACAGAGGTAGTGGCTTCTTCGCTCTGAATGCAGAAGCACTGTGGTAAATAGCATTGACAGACTTTGTCCACACTGCTTCAAATTCAACTTGTGAGGACACACTGGCCAGGTGAATGCTTAACATCTTATTTTTCAATTGCAGAACTCCATCACATGGTAATGGTGAGTGATACTCTTGACAATAGACAGTACTCTTATGTATTAAGTCTGTCCCAAAGTATGGTTCATATGCTAGCCAAACTGCAAGCCTACCTGCATTGGATAAAATGCATAGCTTGCGGTTCTTTTGAATAATACAGTCTGGATGAAGGTGTCAACAGCTGAGGGAGTGAACTTGCTAGCTGTACAAGCATATGTGATGAACTAGGAGCTTGTACAGATGGTGACTTTTGATTGGAATGTAAACTATGGACTGGACCAGGGGGAACAGTTGATGGATTTTGTGGGAGTGGTAGATGTGGAACTGGAACAGAGTCGTGCAGAGGAGTCACAAGAGCTGCAGCTTGAGGAGCTCAATTTGGTGCACTAGTAAAACAGTTGGAGTAGAGTTTTCTTGAACTCCTGTAGGACCTTCAGGAACCCGAGTGGGTGAGGGTGTCACTGACCCAGATGGAGGAAGATTTTCCTTGCAAGATGGTAATAAGCTGATGGCTGGTAAATGTGAAGACAGGCTAATTACTTGTTTGTCCTTGTACACAATTATTTTAGAAAGGAAATGGCTTGTGACACTGAATCATATGAATGTAGATTAATACTACTTCAAATAACACTGCTTTTATATGATAAAGGAATGTTATAAATGCAAGTTAGTTTTCACTTCCATACTTTTAATGAGAGTTTCCATTTGAGATATCAAAAGTTGACACTGAGCTCCAAGCTGCATGATCTATTCTTTTACTTAAGGATCCACTGTTACACCATCTATTGGAAAAGTTATTTAAATATTGTTAAAAGTTGAGCATTTTATTGTACCTGGTTCAGCATTATAATTAGAAGGAAGTAGAGCAGGTTGCATGGACATTTTAAAACATTACTTTCGTCAACTTCAAAACTACATGTGCTGTTCACAACTTCTGATGACATTGGCAAAGTATGGGTAGGTGCAGCATCATTGGTACATGTATCAGGTTCAAGTAAAGATGACACAGCAACAACTTTCAATTACTCCCCTATAATTGAATTTCATGCATTATGGGTTACACAAAATAATTACATCACTAGCACTAACTTTTATTATTGTTCTTGTTAATAGTCTTCTTTACTGTCTTCGGATTTTCCTTTACAACCTAGGTGTTTTTCCTAACTTTCTTTTTCACTTGATTCTCATTACCTACAGGTAACATAGTTAATGAGAGAAAGGAATATACATCTATATTTGCTGTGGTATTGTAACAGCAGTAATAATTACTTATAGAGTCATCCCTTCTTCTTTTCCTACTTACTTGATTACTCTCAGGAGCCGCTGCCTTGAAAGTATCATCGTTGTCTAAAACAAAATTAGTAATAAAGATGGAATACAACATGATAATACTAACAGCCTGCATTCATTATCAACGTGCAGGGCATTCAGTTAAAATTACATTATTCCTCTTTCAAATGTGTAGTATATGGCTTATTTATTTGAAACTATGTATTATCATGTTTAAAGCAGGCAGAAAAAGACAAACCATGAACAAAATTAGAGTCACCACTTTTTAATTACCGTTATCACTGTGAGTATGTGGGTCAGTAGCTGTATCATCATTTAAGGTTGTAAATGTCCATTTTAAAACTGGTCCTGCACATTCATTACTTCTTCCTCAGGTCTTGTCATGAGCAATGAGAGATGAAACAGGCAAAACTGGCTGCATAAAGTTACCAAATGTTATTACTCTTCCTTTCAAAACCTTTTTTTTCATGTGACAAATACTACCTCATACTTCAATTGTATCAGGTAGCTCAACCAGTTTGCTAGCTTTAATAACGAATACAGTTTCATCCTCATCAAAATATATCAGATAAAATGGAGCTATACACAAATAAAAGTAAACGATGATAGATACTTACAACTCTTATGACGGGATAAATGCTTTAAATGAACTTTCAGACTCATTCTTCAAACAGCAAGATGTGTTTTCTGCTGTACCGTACTTTACTCTACAATCACTTTCTTCCTGTGCTGTGCTACTGTCTGCTGCTCATACACACCTATGGTGGCCCAATGAGTCACCCGACACGGCAGTGTTTTGCCGATCGGTACCTCAGCAGTACCGCTGAGTACGTGACTATTGGTGTTGGGTGTCCTAAAGATGTCTGCGAGAGGAGCTTCTAGATCTGTACTCAATGGTTGGGCTGGTGCCATAATTGCCATTATTTTGTTGTGTATTTTTATTCAGATTTTTGATAAAGGAATTCTATTCATGGAAATCATATCGTGTTATTTTAATGAAATTTAAAGTCAAATTCGGGATGAAGAGGAGGTCAGTACTCCACTTGTTACTCATTTTATCATCTAGCTCTAATAATAAAGCATTTCATGGTTGAAGAAGCAATACAAAGAACTCGGTTTGAAACGCAGAGGTGTTGACTATCAATTTGAGAATGTTGTGTCT